GTACAATACACATATTTTTAAAAAAATAAACCCTATATTTGGTCAGAGAGAGAGCAAAATGAGGTGAAATACTCAAAAGGACTTACTAATGCAAATTAAATCCCTGTTTGACAGACGCAGTTTAATGAGTCTTTTAGTCATAGGTTGATGATTAAAACTGTGTTGTGTTTGACACACAAATAAAGAATATAAAGCCTTTGTTACTTCTGAATGTTACAAAATAGCCTCTAACATTGGATCTTTTAATGTAGAATGAATTTCCTGAGATTCTAGAGCCAAATCTGTAAATAACTCAGAGTTAATTTTAAATGGTACTGTTAGTCTTTTTATCTGGCATACCTTTTGTCACAAATTATTTAAAAATGTGAAACCTTCAACTTTGCATAATTAAAAACTCACTGAATTTTTTAACTACCCTATGAAATAAGACTATAATTAAAATAATTTATTGGCTTATAGCAACTCATCTTTATTCTAAGACAAAGTTGAAATCAAGTATGTCTGCTTCAGGCTGTAAAGTGAAATTTAAGCAGAATTTAGAAGCCTAAATCCAGAAGGCAATTCAGAGACTCACTCTCCAAAGACTATGCAATACATAAATGTGTATAACTCAGTAGGCAAAACTGTGCTCTCAGATTTTCATAGTTGCCAGCATACAGCTAAAGTGTTCTCTCTCCAAGTCACTACCTCTTGTGTGCTCAAACCACAGGTGATTCACTCTGAAGGATTTACTTTAGCATACTTATCACACATGGACAGCACACCTTAGCACAAAGCACAGGAACCAAAGTCATTCTTCCTTTCACTCAGCATCCACCTCTTGTAGTCACCGTGTCCTCTCAGCAAGTGGGAACTCAGTCTCTTCCTTAACCTGATAAAAGTTAAATCCACATCTTCTGATTTCTCAATATGCTCTAACTACTAGATAATGGTGAAAGTCCCTCCATGTATGTCCTGATGGAACCAAGCCATTGGTGCTCTGTCACCAACCTAAGTCTGTAGTGCCAGGAGGAGAGCACTTGCTTTTGCTGTTTGATAGTTTGGGCTGTGAGGTGAGAGGAAAGAATCCTGGGGGTCTATTCCTTGGGCTACTCATTATGCATTTATTTTGTTCATCTTGCCATATTTTGCAGTGGAAAATATGGATCTTGTTTAACTGATTCAATCCATTGCAGTTTCCACTGAATACCTTGGGTAGCTCCACATGGCTCTTCTCTTGTGCATCACTGTCTTCGATGCTCCAGATTTTCTTGTTTGCTCAGTTAGGACTCTGGATATCAAAACCAGGGATGGTGCTTTCACCAGATCACATGGCTGCTAAATGCTAGGTATTCAAATGCTATACGTTTTTGTGGGATTAGCCCAAATGTTGCCCATGTCTGTTTGACCATTTACATCACACAGGAAAATCCAGGTCTACAGTTGGTATGATCTCTATCCCTTAATGGTTGAAGTTATTTCTTCAGTGTTCATTGAAAAGATCAGTAGTCTCAAAGTAATTACTTCCTACACACCTCATTCACCTTTTGCAAGACACCTGTTCAGGATATAGAATAATAATAAAGAAACATAGTTTGCTGGTTTACATTGTGTAAAATTATTCAGCAAATCTTTTCTATGATGAATATGTATAATAAATCTTTAACTTGTCATGGATCTGTTCATGAATGGAAGAGAGAGAGATGGCATCTTGTTCAAATAGATCTAACTGAATTAGTTGATTCATTTAAAGCTCCACCATTTCTTGTGCATTTTCCCTCATTTAATTTCCACTATATTTCCATTGCATGTCCTTCATCCAGGTTGAAATATAAACTTTTTCCAGCTTATTTACCATATCCCACAACATATAAAGATTTGAGATATTTTTCCTTCCTTGTTTTAAAAGTACAATAAAAGATGTACACTTATTTGTGGATTGGACCAACATTTGTCCACTATACACTGGAAAATGAACTCTATAATGTAACTGCTGACCCAGCATTAATTTACAGCTTGTATAAGCAGGGTCGGGATAATAAAGCTTCTTCAGCGCCTATAAGCTATAAATAGGATGCATTTGTGAATTGTCTTGCCCAGGCAAAGTATACTGGTTTTTCACCCTGCACCTGTGTGCTTTTATGTTTCTTACAATAGCATTGGAGCTGTCTCTTTCAAAATACTTTCTCCATACTTCATTAGAGTCATGCTATCAAACTGTTGTCACCTGAGCACACCCAATAACACAGAGTTTCAAAGTGCCCGTTTTCTTACAAGCGTACTTATCTACCAGAGTTCAGGCACATCTTTGAATATTTATCTCTGAATCTCTTTCATATGAAACTCTTGCAATGACAGTTTAACACACCTTGCTTTTGTATGTTTCAGCACCCCTCTGAGAAGCACGCCTAAGTCAGGTTTACGAGATATCTAAAATTTAGATGCAAATAAGGTGTCTAAATTGGGAAGACTGGATTCCAGTCTACCTGGTTTTTAAATTGAGTTATGCCCATAATTTAAACCCACCAAAATCTATAGAAATTGGCCACAGTAAGCTGCAGTGCCTCCCAAACTATACATGTGTTCTATAGGATAAAACTACCTGACCTGTCTTTCTTGATAAATTGTTTCCCATTACAAACTTTACATTTGTCAAATAATCTTTCCTACCTGCTCTTAAAAAAAAAGAAAAAAAAGAAAAAAAGAAAAAAAAAAAGTAATGTGTTTTGGTACACAAGGAGTCTGTGATACCCCTCTAACAATATCTGTGAACATTTCATTTTCCTTTGAGTCGCTGAGATGTTCTGGTGCATTTTGTGCAAACATAAAAGTAAAGAAGTTTTTTATTTCAATTTGGATGACACCAAAACATACTTTAAGGAAGTCTTTCAAACACTTTCCGTTTTTCTTCTTTTTTCTTAAAAACACAGAATTTACAACTATGCTTGCAATTATAATGCCTTTCATTAAGACATTACATAGGTTAATGATTTTCTCTTTGAAGTATCAACCAATCAAAAATTGGACAGATTCTCAATAGACCTTGAGGCACCCCCATGTACAGGCTCATTCCTTCTCTGACAGCACATGTGAAAGGTCTGACTTGGACAGGACACATTTGAAACAGCAGTGTGAAGCGTGTGTCAGCCTCTGTACCCAGGTACCTGCTATTCCGTAAGCCGCAGGCAATAGCAGAGTTGTCTGTCCCAGGAACTTCATTGCTTATCAGTGGCAAAAATGCCATTCATGTCACTCAGCACCTCCTTGCAACTGGAACCAACCACACACGTAGTCTCTCATGAGCTTTTAAGGGCACTGCACATCAGTTTCGTTATTATGGGGGCTAACATGCATCCTCTCATTATGACAAGGATTATAAATGCAACCTTGACAAGAATAGCCATACTTCTCACGTGAGCCCGTTGTGTGAGGCAAAGTATATGTATTTTAGTCATGTCATAGGTGCCCATTATAGATGCCCCTGTGGAGTCCTTATGAAGGAAGGTAGCAGGGTAAGGTCCGTGGGCCATAGTTGTTATGATGGATTTGGTTCATACTACCAAGAGAGGCCCTTTCTGCTACAGAATACCCCCAAAGTGAATAGCTACAAGTACCTGCTGCTGTACTAAATAAGTGCTAAGTAGGTCTTAAAGGATTATAAGAGGGACTTCATAGCTTCGTGGACTTGTGCTGTCATGAGGGCTTCAAACTGACTTGAGCAAAATAAATAATCATTGGAACAGAAAAGTTAAATAGAAGGGAACAGTTTCTTCTAGGTGGATTATGAATCTAGTACAGAACTGTTTGGCTACTTGAAGATGAATTCATAAATAGTTTCAGGCCAACTGAAACTACATTTTAAGTAAGTTGTTAGTGTATTTTCTGGATGGCCTGAATGTATTTTCTGACAAGGGCCAGCCACTTGTTCTAGGAATAACACCTATCTGTGGTAAGTAGCAGATTCTAAGCAGCAAAACAGGGTATAGCTTCTTGGTTATTCTTGGTTATGGTTATTTGGGTATTTACATTTAGGGGCAAAGCCTTGCGACCCCTGCAGCTGCTATTTGCTCTGTGTAAAAGAGTCTTTTGTGAGTATAACAGTAGTACATGACAACAGTTTTAAGACAAAGTTGTTAGAAATGTGGACTACTCATCACTGTAGGCAGATTGTTTTGTGTGTTTCAGAGGATTGTATTGATGTCCCCTTTGCTGACATAGGGGAGATTTTTCCATTCATTTCATTTTGGCATCTGCTTCATACAACCTCACTTCTGTGACTTTCAGACATGAGATTGAAATAAGGCAATTCTAAATGATTAATTTTCTTCATTTTCAGTGTAAAGAATTACACTTTAATTGGGGGAGTGGGAACAGTGAGTTAAGTGCAAAGTTTTAAACCCTTTTGGAAGACAAGGTTGCTTCAAATTATTAACAGGATTATTTGATCTGTTTTCTTTCAGCAGTAGTACAAACAAGAGCAGCTTTCCCTCAGCAGAAGTATAGCAATTGAGTGCTTACCCACATGCATCTATTTCTTTAATTGTAAATATTAGAAAGGGAGCACTCACAACCACTCACCATCTAACATGGCTAAGCCAGGGCACACTGTAGCAGTCTCAGAATTTCTGTTCATCATCCCACTAGAATGTGTGGATAAGCTCACAATGCTCCACGGTGCCCTTTGCAAATAATGGATAGAGAGCAGAAGGTGGTTCCCTCCTCACATAGGGCTTGGCAGTACAAAACACTTTGCATAAGTTCAAGGGAAGGTTATTTTGCTGAAAGTCATTTTGTTTATACATCATTGTACATGTCACCAAGCTCTTTACAGAGGAGGTAAGAAAATGGGACCTGAATCTGCCCACAGGTTTACATCCATGACAAAAGAGGCAGAGGATCCTGTGTGAAGGATAATTCAACACGGACACTGCAGTTTTACACTGCCAAGAGAATGAACTTTATCCACCTTATTATTATTACTATTAATATTAACATTATTATTATTTACTTCTCACTAACAGGTTATTCATCAGCTTAGACTTTCAGAGAATGAGAGTGTGGCTCTGCAAGAGCTTCTAGATTGGAGGAGAAAACTGTGTGAAGAGAGAGAAGACTGGCAGCAAATCTTGCACAACACTGAGCAAAGAATCACAGCCCCACCTCCACCCCCTTGTAAAAAGCCAACGCTGCTGAAGAAGGTAGAAGATGCCTCCTGCAACAGACTCCCTTCAGGCATATGGGATACCACCATGTGATTCAGATGTGTGTGTTTGCAGACTGTTAGGAATGAAACCATCTAATGACTTCAATCTGCACAATCAGCAAGTTTCCTTCCCTTCACAAAGCGTGCAGGGATTTTTTATAAGCACTCATTCAAGAGCACAGGATGGAGGAGCTATTTAGATCTGTCATGTGTGCGTGTACATGTGCATGTTTGTACTTTTCATATATATATACACATGCGCATGTATGTGTGCATCTGTGAGTATATATATGTATGCGTGTGTATATATGTATGGAGACAAACTGCACTATAAGAAGTTAGTTTAAAAGTACAAGACGGTCACTTAGAGTTCTCCCGTGGACAATAAAGAAACTATGTTAAGCAAAAGATGATGGGGAGAAGTGACTGACAGGCATTTGAGAAAGATCAGGAAAGTCTGTGTGCACACTGTACAGCTGTTTTATATAGTACAAAAATATGATGTTTCTTGTTCCTTAATGAATGGTTTTATTATATTATGTGTATACATATATATATTTCTTTGTAGATGTCTGTGTTCTATTGGCGATGCAAACCTGAAGATTATTTACATGTTTATTACTGGTGATTTATAACTTTATGCGATTGGTGCTGTCGTTCTTTCTTCAAAATACAGGTAATAAATTCAGTACTCACATTTTTCTTTCATAGTTTATCTTTAACAACATACCAAACAGTCTCAACACTGTGTTGTTTTTTTTTT